AAAGGGGTAAATGCCAGTTTCAGTTTTTAATGTTCTATGAAATACATTGTATGGACAAAGGGAAGCAATTCCTAATTCCTATGCAAATTAATTATCCAAAGGTTTAAAATGATATATTCTAGAGGAAACTTGGTACCCCTCTTCTGACAAACCTATAAAGATATACTGTACACACAAGAAGAATAACTTCACAGTGGTACACTTTTACATAAAACTTTGATTCATAACAAATTAACAGTAAATCCTTCTGTACAATATGATGGGAACTTCGTCTTTATTTTGTTCTCCATTCCAAAAATAATATATATATATATATATCTTTTGCCTTAGCTTTCAGTACTTTCAGTACTTAGATTTAATTGAGCATTATACCATTGAAGTTTGTGTATTTTTGACTGTTACAGCAAAAAGTTCATTTAGACTCCGGAAGTTTTGCCGTCGATGGCTTAAAGCAGAAATATGCTTGGGCTCCCTTGCCTTCCAGGGCTCAGCTAGTTGAGTCACTAAAGAAGGATGAGTTTGATGTTCTAGTTATAGGGGGCGGAGCCACAGGGTGTGGAGTAGCAGTCGATGCCGTGAGTAGAGGTAAACAAGGGATTTATTGATTATGTTTGTTAATTACCGCATTTATACTACCATATATGCCACATAAATTAAGGGCAATCCTCATAAAATTTCAAATTATAAGAGAGAAAAAACCCACCATTTTCATGATGAATTTCAGAATTTTTGTATTATGATGATATGCTTCACAATTTTGAATTTATGTTCCTCATGTTTATTGATAGGACTACAATACATAAAAATATTTGGTTGCATCAGACCTATTTTTTAATAATGACAATGATCCCCTGCCAATATTATCCAAATCTGCTAGCTACAATGTACTACAAAACAGGTGTAATTGGCCAAGTTAGATGTATTGTAAAAAAATCCTAGAATGAAGTCTTCAGGATCTTTACACAGAAACATCAGCTCTGCCAAGAGGACACATAATCAAATGTTTTCAAAATAAAGGGAGCTTTTATTTGGTTGTTGATCCAATCAAGTCTTGTGTATTCTTCGATTTAAATTTTCTCAGTGAAATATTCTTGTATAGATACCATAAAACAATCTTCATGCACATGTACTTGCCATCCCCGCAAACCTGATAACAATTAAATATATTCTTTCCTCACAAATTATAATCACTTACAGAATCTGGGAGTTATCTCCCCTTATCCACATCTATGTTGGATAGGAGAGGACTAGCTAATTTGATGGAGGTGATAACATAATTTCATATTTTTGGAAAAATGTTCCGATTGAAAATATAGTTTTGGGGAAAGCACCTGTTAAAAATTAAAGAGCTTCCATTTTCAGATATATATAATGGGGAAGTAACAATATCAGCACTAGTGCTAGGGATAGAATTTAGTTTACACTTCAACCCTAGCAAAATTTTGACAAAAGCAATTTTTAGGACAGATATTGCAGTCTTGGTCTCATGCTTTTCCTTAGGGACTTTCCACATATCGAGATCCCACTACATTTATTAGAAATGGGATTTATCAATATTTTGAAAATAGTGTTCAGTCCTCGCCTCAAAAATCCCTGCAAAAATCCTTGATAATTCAAATCTTCAAATATAAAATAGAAGGATTCTTATAACTCCTAATGAATGAATTGATGTTATATCATCTGGGTGCAATCGATCATTAATCTAATTGCTACTTCAAATTACAAACTGATGATCAATTTTGATTTTGTACCAATTGCCCATCACTTATGCAGTGAATGGTCAATTGAAATAGCCTTTGTAGCCAGCAAAACCCAGAAATTGTTACAACAACATTTCTTTGTATTTCAAAAAAAATATTTTGTATTTCTTAATGTTTTATTATAAAGGTCTGAAGACTGCCTTGGTGGAGAAGTACGACTATGGCTCTGGAACCAGCAGCAGATCTACGAAGCTTATCCATGGCGGCGTCCGATATCTGGAGAAAGCCATCTTCAATCTGGATATAGAACAGGTATAGTAGTTAGAGCTGTATCATATAGGAAACTATAAAAAACAGATGCCCACATTATTTAAACCCATCCATACAGCAGTTGACACTTTATATCAAGTATCTGATTGAACCAAAAGAATTCTGTATGATAGACGTCCCTAATTTGCAAATATGTGGGTTCTATTTGAGAAAATTTAACTGATGTATAATGTGTAGCATGCATTCAGCATAGTTTAATTCTCGCTTTTTTCACCGTCCTTAATGAGGGCAAATCGATCATGTTAGTGAATAGAAGTACACATCACACAAAATATATTTACATTTCCGCTTCACTCAATCTGTCATTTATAGAGTTTGAACCAATATTTACGGTATTCTCCTTTTATGACGACACAATTGATAACATTGTCTGGATCATTACTTCAGAGTTATGGTGTCGTAACTCAGACTTTTTGATAGGTATAAGTAAATTATATAGTGGTATTTAAATGGTTCCGGTAACTTATTCAATACAGTGTGTACACACTCTCTATCGATATATAAAAATCCCAGATCGAGTGACATATGCAATTTACAATTTCGTCACATCATTATAATTATACAGGCAAACAATACAGATTTCTCACTCAGTCATAACTTAACAAATTTAAAGGGACCAATCTGTCTTAATACATTCCGACACATTTAACAGAAAGATTGTGTATAAAGTAAAACTTTGATAGTATTTAAATGCTATTTCGAGCACACTCATCTAAAACAGTTTTCTTGATATTAATTAAGATTCATAGAAGTTTCATTTTTAGAATAAACTAATTACAGTGTATGTTCTGTTTCAGTACCGGATGGTGAAGGAAGCGTTGGCAGAGAGAGCCAACTTAATAGATATTGCTCCACATCTAGCCTACCCATTCCCTATCATGCTCCCAATATACAAGTAAGTACACATTTATTCCTGGGGAAATAAATACAATTAGTATTTGAATTTTCGAAGCTGACTGTCAAAGGATTGAAAAATCCTAATTGTGTCAGAATTAAATCTATGTACATGTATCTATGTAATTCCAATGGTTTGTTTACCTATATATTAATTTTACTACAAAATGGAACACATTTTACAAAAAAAATCTCAAAACGATAATCATCTGAACCTTTAAAGCATATTATATAGTAAGTCTACATGTAATTATGATAAAAAAATTGCATGTAAAAAACCCAGATTGTACTAGTATTATAATTAGTACAGATTTGTTTTGTGTCAGAAAATTTAGTTCATTTGAAAAAGGATAGAGTCATGTGGGATTCCTACAGGTGTACTCCAGTTATAGCTGCTGCTATGTACTTTCATCCAAACCAAAAAGTCAGATTAACACATCTTTTTAAAATTCTTTCATATGTGAAATGAATCAAGTCTAATTTCATAATATATAGAACTGGTAATTCTTTCTCTGAAATTTAACTGAAGATCATTTGCTTGTGTTTAAAAGTAGCTATTATTCTGTAATGATTCCCTGTAATGACCTGAATGATGTCGAGGATGAGTTCCATTTTATTTTAAATTGTCCTTGTTATATTGATATAAGGTTGGAACTAATTAAGAAATATTATGTAGGACATACAAGCATTTATAAATTAATTCAGCTACTTACTTGTGAGAATTTATCGTACATTTGAAATCTTGGCAAGTATTTAATACAAGCAAACAAAAGGAGATCTGCGCTGATTGCTGGTTAGTGTTCACTCTCCACTGTGTGTATGTGTGTGTGTCATATTGTATTTTGTCTTTGTATCATGTTGTTCTGTATAAATGTTATAACTGATAAGTCAACCGACTTAAAGTAATAAACAACTTAACCTGACCGAAGGTTAATCAGCACTATTTATTATAGTTTACATGTTTCGGCACACTTATTATGATGCTGAGTAACCTTCGGTCTGATGTTGTCAAGGCATTTTTGGGGGCCAAGTGGTTAAGGTGTCTGACATTCTGCTACAATGTACCACTAGCTCTCCACCACTGGTTCGTGGGTTCGAGGCCTACGTGGGGCAGTCGCCAGGTACTGGCTGTAGGTCGGTGGTTTTTCTCCAGGATCTCCGGCTTTCCTCCACCACTAAAACCTCACACATCCTTAAATGACCATAGCTGTTAAAAGGATGTAAAACAAACTGGGCATTTCTACCTGAATTTTCTTTACTTTTTGTGCTTGATTCGTGTACCAATCCGCAGAAAAACCACCAGAACATTTGGAAGATTTTGATACGGACGTTTGATCTTGTTTGCTTAGTATTGTTATTGCAATTAATTCAATGCGGTTTTCAACTTTCTCTTCAAGATACTGGCAGATTCCTTATTTTTGGGCTGGTATAAAAGCGTATGACTTCGTGGCTGGGAAACAAAACTTGAAATCTAGCTACTACCTTGGAAGAAAGAAGGCACTGGAGATATTTCCTATGTTGAAAAAGGATAAACTACGTGGCGCTTTGGTGTATTACGATGGTAGGTCCTACAGTCACAGTTTGGTGTAAAACAGTTTCTTAATCTATAAATTCTAATCAAACCTTTCCAATGTGGACACTTCTGTTCTGGGCCATTAGTAAGGTTTATGTGTTTGTTAATAAAGGCACCACACATTTGACTGTTGTAATCAAGGCCCCTTTTCATGGGGGTCACCACTCCTATAACATGAGAGGTCGCTGGTCGGCCTTTTTTCTATCGGATATTATTTTGCCGACCACGACGGCGCCTGTCGAAAGTTTTCCCGGTGTAAAACCTGTAACATTGTTGGAGTAGGAGGTCACATGATCATTGGGTGAAAAATTGCTATTGTATTTGAGACATAACAAAACTTTGAAAAAAGGTTTTCGTATGCAAAAGGTTCAACCAGAGAGAAATGATATATATTGATTGATGATGTGATAAACATAGCCTCATAATTATCATACAGTACAAGCAAGTGTAAGACATTGGAACTATATGTACAATACTTAGTGATCCATATATAACCGCTTACCATCGTTAAAAATAGCTCTGTACATTGATCTACAGGTCAGCACGACGATGCCAGGATGAATGTTAGTCTGGCTATCACAGCCGCAAGGCTAGGTAGCACTATAATGAACTACGTGGAGGTCGTAGAAATCCTGAAATCTCCGGACAGTCAAGGAAAGGAAGTGGTCAGCGGGGCCAAAGTGAGGGACAGAATGACCGGTAGGTTGTCATGGTTACATGATTTATATGTAAACTATTTCTGTACCGTAGTTAAGTACAAGTGTTTATTTGACTAAGATTAAGGAGGTGTCCAGTATTCCTGTATATATATAGATATATATAAAGTTGTTACAGTATTAAAAAAAAATACAGTTTTCTCTTTTCACTATATCCCAGAAATATAGTTCTCTACTGTACTATTACAGTACAAATTTAATAGTTTCTTTCTGTCACGTTTCCATATTTTTCATTTCTAAATACAAGAATACCTCAGAAAACCCCCCACCTTTTTGTCAGATTGGCATGTGATCGGCCCTGCTTACTCTTGGTAAAGATTGATAATACTTTAGTTAATCTCATAGAAATATTGGTTTATGACTTATGGATTGAAATATAATATCTTTATTTTTTTTGCATACATGACCAATGTTGCTTTCACAAGTGCAAAAAATACCACTCTCAAAGCTAGCCAGTAGGGATGATTTTGAGCTGCTTTGAATCCAATTATAAATTATCAGCATGTATGCATTTTGCGTAAATTAAAAAAAACAAAACAAAAGCAAAAGCAATATTTTTTTTGTGCAATCTAGGTGTCATTGGTCATGATTTCTGTTGAGTGTTTCACTGAGAGTAGGTTATTAAGTCTCCTGGTCTCTGTTGTTAGGTGAAGAATGGGAAGTTAAAGCCAAGTGTGTAGTAAACGCCACCGGACCGTACACGGATCGTATCCGCACCATGGCCAACCCAGGGGAGAGGAAGATCTGTCAGCCAAGCCAGGGTGTACATGTTGTACTGCCTGACTACTACAGGTTAGACCAGTCATGTGGTTTGCTCTATTGGTTTAAAGTTTTACTATAAATCTTATTATTTTCTCCAGGCTAATAAAAATATAATGTTCGTTTAATTTTTGGGTGTTGACTGCTCCTGTTGTGTAATAAGGCCCCAACTTCTAAATGTTTCTAAACTTCAGCGATGCTTTGATTTTGAAAATCTTAAGTTAAGAAATGTTCATGAACAATCACTTGTAATAACAGCCCAGGATGTCAGTAGAGTAACTCTACAAACTTTCATTTAATCAAAATGATTATAAATGGCATGACAGGTGAAACTTGACTAAAATGTTTACTTGACTGCAGAATCAAGATCACTGTAAAAGTTTTTCATTATTTCGGCTCTTGTATTTAAGTTTGAATTTTGTTGGTAAAACTTCTCTGGCAGGCTGGGATTATAAGATAATTGTATAGTAAAGTATAGTTAAACCCCTTTTGATACCACCATGTGTCCACAGAAATGTTGACGTTATAAAGGGGTTTGGTGATATATAATTGAGGGAAATGTTCAAAGGAATTCTTAATAAATAAAACAAGAAAAAAGGGAGATAAATGGAATCCTTACTTTAATTTCATGATATTCCCTTTAACATCTACACGCGGGTAGTGATTTCAGCACTGAGCAAATCTGTTTTGTTCAGGGCCAAAATATTGAAGATTGATTAACTTGAAGAAGAAAATGTATTTTTACAGCCCAACCTCCATGGGACTGCTTGATCCAGCCACAAGTGACGGAAGAATCATTTTTTTCCTGCCCTGGCAAAAAGTCACCATTGCAGGTAATTGACCTATTTTCTTTTTCCTTTGAAATGCTTTTGCTACAACTGTGATGGCTATTGATAGACATAAACAGTTTTAAAATCTGTGGCTAAATTTTAAAAGGTTAGTTTCATAGCAAATCATAAAATGTATAGGAGGCAACTTTTAAGAAAAATCATAAGACTTGAAAATTCAATATAAAATAAAGTGTCTCCATAAATCTACATGTAATTTTTTTAGAGCTATATATTCAGATTTAGTTTCTTCATAACAAAAAGAATTCTGAATAGTTTATACCTTTTTTTATCCAAAGGAAATTTACTAATTTTGTTCTTGAAATGTGCAGTTTTTAATTTCTAATTTGTTTTTACATTTTCATGGATAAAATCCTCATTGTAATGCCAAGTACAATCAATTCATTTTAAATTGTTTGGTTAGTTCATTCTAGACAATGCAGAAGGGAGTGTTTTAGATTTGGTCCAGTAAACATAACTTGGTGGTAGGAACATGTGATTGGACTAATCTGAAGAATTTGGATTATCATATCAGCATCTTGACTGAACATTCCTCCAAATCTACTATTCTGATTAACCCTTTCACCCCTATGTAACTTAAGTCGACTCTACCATGCATTGACATGGGTGTGTCCATTATGATCTACAGTGGTAAAAGGGTTAACACAATATTACAATGAATTAAGGATCCCTGTCCCACTGCACTGTGTTTTTTCCTTTATACAGTAACCTCCCCTTAACTTCCGTTTGGATATATACCTGTAGACATGTTTGAGCAGTACACTTTTCCGTTGACAGGTAGCTCAATCATTTGAACCCTAGTATAACGCTCTGATGTCCTGGGCAGTAATCCTGGTCTTGCCCCACTGAACTTTTTTTACGCTCAAAACACTTTTCTTGATTATATTTTGTTTATTTCATCTTTAAAACTTCTCATAAAAGATCTGTAAGCAATGGTTTTCTTTTCAGAAACTAAAGTCATGTCAGAATAAAACATTTTCAAACAGTAATTAGTTATAGTTTTTGGCAGTAGTACGGGGATCTTTAATGTAAAATTGTTAATGCTACTTGTGATTATCCAGGCACGACTGATGAGGCCTGCGACGTGACAGACTATCCATCCCCCACGGAGAAGGAGATACAATTTATCCTCAGCGAAATACGCCATTACCTGGACCCCGACGTTGAAAGTAGGTGTCAATACCCTGCCTTATTTACAGATATAGAGAAGTTTCTCTCATTAGATATTAGTTACTTTAAAATTTCACACATTTACTTAAATTGATTTTAGTAAATAGATAAACTAAGTTATGAAATTGACTACCCTTTTAATATATTTCATTCTTTACAGTTTTACATTTGCACATGCATTTATGTAATTTGAAAACTTGAAAAAACCTGCAATGTTAAAATTGCAGTTTTAAGAATGTTAAGTCTTAATTAAGTGAATATGTTGAAAGAAACATGGTCTTTTTGTGAATTCACCTCATATGGCATATTAATGATGTGTGCAATTTGATAACAATATAAAGATATTGCTTAAACAGAAAAACTTAATATCGCAAGTTTGATTAAATTGTGGCTCATTTGATTTTGTTGATATAAGTTGTGCGTCACTTATTTCATTTCAGTTCGTCGAGGCGATGTGTTGTCAGCCTGGTGTGGTATTCGTCCCCTTGTGTCTGATCCAAACAAGGTAGACACACAATCTATAGCCAGGAACCACATCATAGAGGTCACTAAGGACAATCTCATAACCATAGCAGGTAGGTATCTTAGTTACTGGCCGTCCTCGATATCCAGTGATTACGCTCACTTTCACTCTCTGCACTCCTGGAATATGTCATAGCAAAACTGAAGGCACAAAGATAGCTGTTTGATTGGTCTCGGGTAAAAAAAACCTGACCAGCAGCTAGGCTGATACCTGTCCTTCGAAGATTACATAGGAGACATGCCCGACTTCAAAGCCTGTCAATTTTTACTGTTACGTGACTGCGATATTCTTTTGATGAGTATCAAAGGATCAAACTAGTCTTCTTGTCTCGTCAACAAGGTGGTGCCTTCAATTTTGTTATGACATATTCCAGGGGTGTAGAGAGCGAAAGTGAACACAACCCCTGGATATCGAGGATGCTTCCTGGCTGTCAATCAAGTATCAAAAGTAAGCCTGTCAGTAAGTTAGGCTCTAAGATCATTGAATACTCATTACTTTTCACTTTTCACTGAATTGTATCCCTTCCTACCTGTTCAGGATTAATATAATCTTTCCCTACCTTGAGGGCATGACATAGAAACCACCGACTGTCAATCAAGAAAGTATCATAAGTGAGGCTTTTAGTCTACAGCTGGTAAATTTATTGGGGTTTTAAAGTTAACATATTATGACGATTGGAATTATAAATATATATATATGCATGTATGTTTGATTAACCAATGTGTAACCATGAACTTATTTAGAAAAAATAGACCTTTCTACATTTGCCTGTGTTTACAGGTGGAAAATGGACAACATATCGCCACATGGCTGAGGAAACCATAGACCGTGCAGTGTCTGTATGTAATCTGGAGCCTAAAACAAAGAGTCGTACCAAGGGCCTGCTGCTGGATGGGGCACATGGGTACACACCAACTTTCTTCATCAGACTGGTGCAGGATTTCGGCCTGGAGAATGATGTATGTGGTGGTAAAATAATTTTTTAGAGATTTTTTTTTACGGTTTCCTGGTATATGAATTACATTGGAAGCTACGTTTACTTGCTATTCAAAGAACATCAGTTTTCGTTGTTGGTGTTATGAGAAGTTATGGTACATAGTTTTATTGAATTTCAGGAGAAATCATAGGTTTTAATAAGGAATTCTAGAAAAATAAAATAAGTTTCACTCATGCTTATTCTAGAAGAAATTATCTTAATTTAATTGCACTAATTCAAGAAGAGTTACGAGAACCATATTGATGTGTTTTGACATCCAATTCTCCCTTACCACCTTTTATATTTATATTCCACTTTCAGCGAAGAGGAGAGGTGTCCTTTCGGATAAATTTGCCCATCTGTCTGATGATTTTTACCATCTCATTTGTAGTATTGCTAAATATCTACTGTCTGAACTAATTATTCAAACTTTGACCCTCAGAATATCTCCTTTAACCTGTAATTCAAAAAATAAAATGAGTGTGGAAATGTTATAATTCACAGATTATCTCCCTTGAATCATGTCACTTTGCGAAAAATGAGGATCGAAATGTTGTATTTCACAGATTATCTCCCTTTAATCTTGTCTCAGGTCGCCCAGCATCTTGCCAGTACATATGGAGATAAAGCCTTTAAGGTGGCCAAGCTTGCTGCCCTGACTGGAAAACGATGGCCAGTTGTTGGCAAACGTCTACACGAGGAATTCCCATACATAGAGGCAGAGGTTGGTATGAGGGTACATTCTCAAGGCTTGCTGCATCTTCGCTAGCCAAATGTTCGCTTCGTATTCACTCCACTTACCCTTGGCGGATATAGCCGTGTTTTCATAACTCCCTTAACTGCCACCTAGCAGATATAGAGTTATCGCTCTTCTCCCAAAAAACTTTTAATCAACCAGAATGACCGTTACATACACACTCCATTGGCGTGTTGACATACGCACGTGTATGTCGAGGTGAAGTATTAATGACAGAGCAATATGGAAACAATCCAAAGGCAAAAGCGCTATATGTAAGACGTGATTTCATTGGATGTCAGCGATTAGCACCGCATGAAAATTTGAAGGATCGGTGAATACGGCTATATCCGCCAAGGGTAAGTGGAGTGTATACGAAGCGAACACTTGGCTAGCAAAGATGGGCTGGCTGTGGAAAACAAAAAAGTCCATAAGTAATCGGTGTTTGGATGGGGTGTTAGAATGGATATAGCCAAATTAAACAGAGGAAAGCATGAGAAAATTTCTCTAATCAAACATTCCTTTACAAGATGATACAGAAGGAGATAGACATACTCTGATTAAAACTGTCAATAGAATACTTACCAAAATTTCGTTAAATGGGCACTACAGAGCTACTGTTATAATGTTTTCGTTGTTGGGAAATATCTGAACATTGGTTGTACATGGCCATATTTATAAGGGTAAGCTGTGTCACTACCATTACCCTAAATAGATATAAGGCTAGACAAACCTTATCTTATTCCTTATTTGGTCATTTAACCAAATAGGCATCTGTATCGGATAGTATTGACAACTGCTAACATGTAAGACTATCTGATACTAACCAGGTACGATATGCAGTGAAGGAGTACGCATGTCGAGCCATTGACGTGCTTGCACGTCGAACACGCCTCACGTTCTGTAACGTTCATGCTGCCGAGGAGGCCTTACCCAGAATCGTGGAGATTATGGCAGAGGAACTCAAATGGGATAAGAAAAAGCAGAAGGTAAGATGTTGTTGGTTTATGACTCATGTGATATAAAAAGGTTATATTTGTGGTATTCACATTGTATACCCCTGAAAACTATCAGCTTATTTGAAAAATATGATAAACTAAACGTAGGTATAATGGTTTAATGAGAGATGTGAACAACACTTGTAAATGTTAACACCTCATATTTCAGTTCTGACCAAAGAAAACTGATATTAAATTTGCCCCCCCTCCCCCTAACCATTACAGCAAATTACCAAATTATGAGGCAAATATGGTTAAACAATCACCCAGAACAAGCATGATAGCAAATCAATTATATTACATTATCATCATAGATTCATACTCCGAGAGACATTACCCGAAACAAACTCTACAAATCCTTGAAAAATACTGACTTTAATTTGGAAGACTGTTAATACCCATTAGCTTTTAATTAATTTGGTATTCTATCACATATTAATGTACTATTTATGTTTGTGATATTTCTAGGACTGTTATACTGTATATAACCATTCATACATTACAGTTCGTAATGGTACCTTACACTACTACATAATCCTAAAATACCCTTGTTTAATTTTGCTCGACACCTTTCAGGAGGAAATAGAACATGCACGCACCTTTCTGAAAAGAGAGATGGGTCTTGACTTGGGAACAGGATCCAAAAACGTGCCTATCAACTTCACCAAGGATGAAATCAACGTGTACGTCAAGCGCTTTAAGACACTGGACCACGACCATAAGGGATACATCACCGTCAATGACCTCCGCAAATACTTCAAGGTCAGTCCATGTCGTTAACTCTTTTGGTACTGAAAATCCTGTCCAGATTCTGTACCAGATGTTCTTACTAGACTCGCCCCCGCGCAAATAACAAAATGGTGGATTATTAATGTTCTGTTTAGACGAGGTGTAATTGCTGCAAGAATTAAACCGGTAACTGTGAACAAATATTGTTATTGTTTCATATTGTTGTTTATATATAGACACACACTTTTTCATTTTCGCAGCATAATGACTAACTGGCAGCTAATTATGACAGAGAAATTGACATCTGTTCGGCAACAAACGATACGAAACCTTGTTTTCAAAACAGTGTTGTAGTGGAAGTTCCTAATTAAATAGGGATTGATTATTGTTTATGAATACGAAGTCGTTAGTTTTTTTTTCTAAATTAAGAATAGATTTCATTAAGACTTATATTAAAATATTTATATTTACTTCTATAAGTCTAAATAAATATTTGATGATGAATTTACGAGTGTTCACATCGAACTAAGTTGCAACCATATTGTTTATATTTGAATCACCAAACGCAAACATCTTGTGGCAGATTCGAAAACAACAGGTCACAAAATATAAATTGTGTACTTTGCACCTATCTTCTTTTCAACTCATTTTAGCGACAAATAATTGTATTTTGCAATTGTCGTGTGCAATAACAAGCTTAACATAAGACAAGTTACACCAAAGTCTGTTGTCGTGTGTACTCGACAATAGGGATGAGACGGCCTATTATTTTGTCGTCTGTACACGACAATGGGGACCAGGATGACATATTGTTGTGGTGTGTGCCTGACAACAGTACGGAAAGAGTTAAGACTTGTTTGGTTGTTGTTCTGCAGTTTGTTCATTAGCTTACAATGATCAGCTGATGGTCCGTTTATTTCACTGATCGCCTGTGTTCCGGCATCCGTCATTTATTTAATGATAGATTTCTTGTACAGGATTTTATACCCTCTAGACTAGACTCAATACATGATAATGGTTATAATTAAAAAAATGTTTGATGGTAACGACATTACAGTTCATAAACTAGCTTTGAAGTTATAAAATAAATCGATGTTTTTCCAGTTTTTATCCAGTTCATTTTTGAAACAGTTTAAATTATTAGCACATACAGTTCTACATTTCCTGGTAAGTTATTCTACACATTTGCAGTTCCTAGTAAAAAACTATTTTTCCTGTTCATATACAATTGTACACTGTTTCGGATTGATTTAAATCATCTTTCCATAACTTTAAAAAATCAGCAACATGCGGTCATATATTCCATGAATTAATTTATAAAGTCCTTTCATATCTACTCGCTGTCTCCTGTACGATAGCGTTGGTAAATTTAGCATTTTAATCTATCCGAGATCCGGGTATGAAAGGTTTTTCAATTCAGCGACCAATTTTGTTGCCCTTCTATGAACTCCTTCAATTTTTTCAATATACTTAGTTTTATATATGTAAACCAAGAAGCGCTCGCGAAATCAAGATAGGTCTAACTAATGATTTGTATAGCAATAGAAAAGTTTCTTTGTCCAAGTTTTGGAATGATTTCCTTATCGATTATTGAGTTTGCTTTTTTATTTTTTTCTATTTTTTTTTCAAATTTAAGATTGCTATCAATTACTACTCCTATGTCTTTTTCCGCTTCTGATTTCTTTAGAAGTGTTTCAGCAAGATGGTATGTAAAGTCGTTTGCAGTGTTCTTTCCTATGTGTATACAAACACATTTCCCTGGATGTAGTTTCAACAACCATGTATCACACCATTTTTATACGCCCGTCAAATTTGACGAGGGTATTATGGTATGGCGTTATCCGTCCGTCCGGACGTAAACTTTTGTTTGTCCAGCAATCTCCTCCTACATTTTTTGACAGGTCTCTTTGAAACTTGGTATACATTATAATCATGATATGAAGTTGTGTCTCCCTTTAAAGAATTTTGATTCGACGATTTTTGCAAAAGTTATTGTCCTTTGTTCATTTCAGTATTTATTTTTTTATCCAGAGATTTTCTCCTACATTTTTATAGCATGTCAGCTAACCACTCTTTGAATGATGCAGATCTTATTTCAATGTAAGAAAGTATATAACACTATATGGAATTCAACGGGCGTATATTGTTCCGCCCCATGGTACTCTTGTTCCATTCTATAAAGATCTTCCTGAAGAAGGTTTTGATCAGCTAATTCTTTAGTGATACCTTTGAATATTTTTGTGTCATCTGCGAATGAATACGCATCTGAATCCAGAGTATCAGGTAGGTCATTAATGTAGACGACAAACAATATGGGACCTATTACAGACCCTTGTGGAACTCCCAACATGTCATGTTTTCGTTCCGAGTAATTTCCAACAACAATAACGCATTGTTTTCTGTCTTTTAAGAAATCCTCTATCTATCTTACATAGATATGATGTATTCAGTGAGCTTTTAGTTTTTTAACAAGTCTCTTGTGTGTTACGGTATTGAACTCCTTTTGAAAATCTGTATAAATACAATCAATAGGGTTTCCTTTGTCCATTGCAATGGTCCATTTATCTAGAACAGTAAGGAGTTGAGGAGTTGTTGATCTGCCCAATATAAATCCATATTGTTTTATTGCTAAAAACTGAGTTGAATTTCATATGATTAACTAAGTGATTTCTTACCAGTGTCTACATTGTCTTGACCCAATTGAAGTGCGACTGACGCCAGACGGGACTGTAATTTCCAGCCAGTGACTTGTTCCTTTCTTGTAAATTGCACATACATAAGGCCCCTTCCAGACTGCTGGTACCATCTATTGTCTAATCATCTAATGACCTACCAGGTATAGTCTATTGACTGATTGTATAGTAATGTCAATGGCTCTGCTATTGTGTTGGCCAGCTCCTTGAGAAGTCTTTGATGTATGTCGTGTGAACCCAGAGATTTATTTTCCTTGGGACTTAATAGTGATCCTTTTGTTTCTTTACTCGTTAAAATCACGCTTGTCATCTCCTTTCTGACACAATTTACTGGGATTTGAGGTATATTACCTAGGGGTTCTGTTACAAATACACTACAGAATTTTTTAAAAAAGTTTTTCAACTTTCTCGCTGTCTTTTTCCATTTTCATGGTGCCTCGTTGTTGTAATCTGTGTGAAGATCACCTATAGCTGATTTTGTTTTTTGATTTCCTACTTAAATATTGCCAATTTAAAATTACTCTCGGATTTTCTTTTGACCTCTTAGCTAAATCATATTCAAATATATTATGTAAAAAAAGTGTTCGTTTTCTTACTGCATTTGATGCTTTTCTACAGTCTCTTTGATTATTAGGGTCTTTGATTTGTATTGCCCTTCGCGTTAAACAGTTCTTCAGTTTTAATTTCTTTTTGGTTTTGTTGTCGAATGGAATCATGTGTTGTTTTCTTCTTCCTGGCTTAAAAGTTTTAGCTGGTACATACTTTGACCATTTTGTATTTGCATCCGTATAAGGTAAATTTCCAATCCCAATCCCTACGGGACTGTTCCTCATAAGCTCTTATAAAATTGGTCTTATCGTAACTTTTCCTCTTTTTAGTTTCTTTTGTTAGTTCAGCATGACATATATATTCAGAAAGTAATACACAGTGATTGCCCTTCCCTAAGGGACTGATGTATCTAAGATTGCCTATCATATTTTCTTCATTTGTTGATATTAGATCTAGGAGGTGGGTATATGTCACGGCCTCTCGATCTTGTTGGTTTGGTAACATGTTGATATTAGATCTAGGAGGTGGGTATTGTCACGGCCTCTCTATCTTGTTGGTTCGGTAACATGTTGATATTAGATCTAGGAGGTGGGTATTGTCACAGCCTCTCTATCTTGTTGGTTCGGTACCATGTTGATATTAGATCTAGGAGGTGGGTATTGTCACGGCCTCTCGATCTTGTTGGTTCGGTAACATGTTGATATTAGATCTAGGAGGGGGGGATTGTCACGGCCTCTCTATCTTGTTGGTTCGGTACCATGTTGATATTAGATCTAGGAGGGGGGTATTGTCACGGCCTCTCTATCTTGTTGGTTTGGTAACATGTTGATATTATATCGAGGAGGTGGGTATTGTCACGGCCTCTCTATCTTGTTGGTTTGGTAACATGTTGATATTAGATCTAGGAGGTGGGGATTGTCACGGCCTCTCGATCTTGTTGGTTCGGTAACATGTTGATATTAGATCTAGGAGGTGGGGATTGTCACGGCCTCTCTATCTTGTTGGTTCGGTAGCATGTTGATATTAGATCTAGGAGGTGGGTATATGTCATGGCCTCTCTATCTTGTTGGTTCGGTAACATGTTGATAGAGAAATAAATCTTGTACACAGTCTAAAAACTTGTGTTCCTGCAAAGACAAATTTTCTCCTTTGGCATTCTGTAGCCTCCAGTCTATATCCAGAAAGTTGAGGTCCCCTATTAGCAACAGGTGTGAATGTTTTGTTGTAGCCTCTTCTTGCAATAAAAGGTGCAACTTATCAATGTTGAAGTCATGTCTAAAATCTAACAGATATCATCGACCCCTCATGAGTATTAATATCAACCTCTTCCGCCCAGTATTGATATTTTTGACCCCGGGTAGTCACATTGACTCCAAAAAAATATTTTTCGATTAAACGTGAATATTTACATTCCCTCTTGAAGTGATTTCCAATATCGGTTGGGGATCTGTATAAGATACCTGATACTGTTTCTTGCGTGTTTAATTTCATCAAAGATTTATTCTTGAAAAAACTGTTTTCATATATTACTTCTTTTGATGAGTAAACTTCTATGTCTTTAATACAGCAGCAGGCTTCTACCTGTATTAATTTCTATATATTTGGAAAGTATGTTATATTCTCCTATATCTTTATTGATGTTGAATTATGTAGTTATTTAATTTTGTTTTCTACTTTTTGATTTCACCTCTGCAATACCTATGATATTTGCTGTACAATTTCAGAGACTTGTCGTAAGCTCTGCTAATTTTGTTGTGTAGCCGGTCAGCATTGTGTAGAACCAGGAAAAACTGTTAAGCGATTCTGCTGTGTCTACCATTACGATATGCGTATGACTTTTCTTGCCCACAGCAGGGCCCGGTACTTTGTATGTGTTTACGTATTCCCCCGACAACTGTTCTAGTTTGGATCCTGCCTCTTGGAAGAGTTGTTTTTCCTTTTCCCTTTCGGCTCTTGTTAGATCGTTTCCTATTCTTATGTTCCTTTAGGTATCATTCCGGTGTACGGAAGCAATATTTCTAAACAGAGTGGCGAAGTTTCTGAAGTTTGAAAAGTAACTAGAAGTGGTCTTCCAGATTTTTTCCTTACCTGACATATGTGATTCTTCCTCCTTATCCTCCTTGCTGTATATAGCCCTATCATTGTAGCCCTTAAGTTCGTGGGAATTTTTCTTTAAGTATTTCTCCTAAATTTTTGTCCTTTAGTTTCCTTTCGTTTTTTGTTCTGGATCTTTGTTCCTTTGCGCTGAAAATCTTTATATATTGTTTTCCCTAGCTTTCAAAATGCCTCTCATCAAATCCTGATATAACGCTAGAAATGTCTTTTCTCCCTGTTCCTTGCTGTTTTTCTTTGCTACCTGTGCCCAGGTGTTGGTGTCACTGATTTCAGCACCGTTTCCAATAGGCTGTTTAATCATCTCCGTTACTTTTGCCTCATCACATGTGATTTCTATTTCTTTCTCTATTTTTGCTATTCTTTCGTTAGATCCGTTTATGATGCGCATGCATGCTTTGGTATCTCTCCTTGATTTCCTGCGTAGTCGCAATGTTCTTTTTTCACATTTACCAAGCAACGCTGACAGAACCACATGATGTCTGACATATATCGCTTTCTGAATAACATTGTATTCCTCCTCAACCTTTTTTCAGGCATGGTAAACAATACCTTTCCTTGCACTTCCAGCAACCTTAAAGAGTTTGTCGCAGATTTTTGAGTGACATATTATAATTACATGCGTGTCAACGTTTTAGCTTCTCTCCCTCATCGCCACTATTCTCTGGGGACATAGAGTATGATAAACGGAGGTGTTGTGGCCGTTGCATTGGTCACTCTAACTTTACTTCTAAGCTCTGGATGGTGTTTCTTGTCAAATGGTTGCCATGGTCAATCCCCTACTGTTCAAACTTGGATTCTCGATATTTCTGTGAATGTATCCGTTTATCCCCGAACAATTTCAAAATGTCCAGGTGTGACCTCCCCCAACAGCTTGAAGTGCACATAACTGTGTTTTTCTGGAAAAGATTGTCGCAGCGTCACAGTTGCCATCCAGCCACTGGAAGTGACGTCAGTCCCTATTTAATAAACAATCTATTTTACCCCAATTTCTCAGAAACTAAGAGAAACTTGGTATGGATGTTCCTCTTTGTCAGTAGTTTTGCATGTTCCAATTTAAGCCAAATTGGAAAACAAAAAGGCCACCAGGCAGCCGTCTTGGATTTTACAAATGCAACTTTCTGTAAATCAATCATCCGCTTAATTAAAATAGTGATTCTCATTGATCCAAAAGTAAAACTGCCTGTATTAATTTGTTTTGATTGTTTATTGTAGAAAATTGGAGAACGAGTGACAGAGGACCAGCTTCACGATATCCTGAACGAAGTGGACTTAAACAAAAATGCTCAAGTAGATCTCGGCGAATTCTTACAGGTAAAGAATTCATATTTAATTCTTCGGACATTCTCATTATCGTAACTTAATGTAGGTTTCTAGGGAGTTCCGCTACGGGTAAAGATATTTGCTATGAATCTGAAAATAGCTAGTCCTTGTGATCTTTAGGCCACCCTGAAGAAATTTCTATACCATAGTATACATTAAGGTTACACATGCAAGGTTAATACCAGGTGATCATGAGTGATGCAGGCCAATTGGGCCTCTTGTTTTCAACTTTAAATATAGAGAAGAAAATTGGTAAAATGTATATTAGAAAAAAAAAGAAAAAAAAAAGTCAAAGAAGTATTTAGTACAAATACCCATCCCTGCAACATCAAGGTTAGAAACCTCGCCATTAAGGAGATGGCGTTCATAGGCTACGCCTGTTGCCCAGTTCCTTTTCTATCTTTGATCTGATGAACAAAATATTCTGAAATGAAACCTTGGTTAGATTTTGCATTAAGTTTGTGTATCTTAATATTAGAAATCAAACTTAAGACCCCCTGCTAACATCCGGGCCAACATGCTACAAAGAGCGATTAATATAAGTTGAACTATAACTTGTATCATAATTGTTGAAAAATAAAGTTTATATCGACTTTATGAGTAGATACATGTTAAGGAATACTACATCAACATGTCAAATATAGGTCACTGTGACTTGTTTTCTGATTTACTTTGGTTAGACTTTGCTTTTAACTCCATTTTCTTCAAAGAAGGATCGAGTGGAGGCATGCGTTTGTTTAGAAGCAATTACTAGTGGCATGCAAAATATTTATTTGTTATATAATGTACTAGTGAATGTGAAAGGATACTTTGACTCCACTGTCCATACCTTATGTATCATAAAGATATCAGCATGCATGTTTTTTCTGCAAAACAGAACATTAAATGCAAGATGTTTTTCTGTTTGAAGTTTTAAATCTGTAGTGGATATATCAAATCTTCTTGATAAGTTACTTAAAAAGTTTGGAAAGTCCAAGACTTTGAGTAACAAGTAAATTGCAACTTTCAATATATGGTAAAACCACAGTTTCTGTGATGGTGTGATAGAAAGAGTTAGCATTTCAGTGAAGTATGTCTACCGACTAATATATGTTGTGGTCTACAAATAGCTACTTAGTGTTGTGCAGGCTCACACAAAGAATGTCTTCAGACTGACTAATACATATTGTGGTCTACAAATATAGCTACTTAGTGCCGTGCAGGCTCACAAAAAGGATGGTCGCGGCCTCCAAACCTCAAAGCTGCCACAAATCGTGTCAATCCTGGACTCTCTTCTAGAGGATGAGTGAGACTGTCACTTAAATTTTAGCTGTCACAGCATAGGCCAAAATATCTTCAGAATACTGTTAGTTACTGCATAACGGGAATTTTTTGTTGGTCAATTAATTTCTTCTGTGGTTTAATGTTTAGAAACTCTATATGGTATTGATAAAAACTTTTGCAATCTGAAGGTACAGGTATGCATCAACTTGAGTCAGTTAATTTGTTCATATATTCTCTGACAAGTGTATAAAGTTAGGAGTATTCACACTGCAATGATTAAACCGCAGAAGTAAATATACAATAAAATGTTCATGTTATACAGTATATAGTGTTTTACTAACTTAAAGTAATGAGTAATTAGTCAAACACGCAGTCATCACAAACTCCACGGATATAGACTTTGTGAAATTCCATTTCAATCAAAGTGATCACCCACGATACGTATGTTTTACAAACAGTTTATAGTTTAAAAACATTTCAATACATTTTGAACAATTTTAGTTTCAAAAGAAAAAAAAGTTGAAATTTTAAAAACTCTTGCTGTATTTGGCCAAATATCTACATTTAATTCGGTTATATTTTGGCCTAACTATAGATAGCTGGTGCACAATCGCAGAAAAAGTGTTTTCCTTTTGGTTGTGCTTAAACTTATTTCATTTATTTTCCATATTTCTCTAGTTTCAAATTTTATAAATTTAAGTTTGTGTATATAACTGTTACGTTTTCACTGATTAATTTTGTTGTAAAACGTTTAAGTTGTTTGAAAAGATATTAATGTTAACATCTATTTTCGTTTTTGTTTGTGACTCTCTGCCCTAAGTTCTTGTTATAGACTCTGCTAATTGTCACATACCATGTGGTGTGAAGGGATCATAGCAGGCCTCTTACATTATTAATGTAACCGAGTTAAAAACTAGAAACCGTGCCCATCATCCAGTTCCTGTATAACCTAAGCACATGTACTACGTACTGGGATTGAAGCAGTCAAAATATTTACATAAATTTTATACCCATTAAGGAAAGTAATAGGGAATCACCGAAATCTGACTGTCTATTGACACAACTTTTAAATACTTGCTTCGTCTCTTCAGAATACATTTCATTGAAATTTGATAAAAAAAATATTTCATCAGTATACAGGTTACTATAGTAAATCACAAAATTGTGTTACAACTACAAGTACATAATTTCAATTCTAATAAAAGCTGATTAAATGGAAATTTTGAGGCTGTTATTTAATAAGTGAAACTTACATTGAAGAAAAATAGCATATCTAATGTGATGCGATCGACACATTTTGTTAAAAAGAAATAAACGAACCCTTCAACCACAAATTTGGTATGACTTGTACAATGAATGGCAGAGCTATAATGAGAACTGAGGGAGGTTGGGTTTATTACATACAGCTGGTGAAATCCAAGTCATCATCAAGGGTACTTTTACACCGTGCACCAAATACTTAAAAATTGTATCTGCATCAAAAACTTAATTTATAGTCCATTCAATTTATGGTATATGTGTATCACTTGCTCTCTGTATATTTGCTTGACATTTTCTTGATATATGTATTTTTATTTATCATTTTAAAGATACCTCACCTAAATCTCCATTTGCAGGTACATGTTTTTACATTGTAGAAAAAAGCTCAGGTTTGGCATTCAATACTGATGTTGAATCAGTAAATAGCAAAACAAAATTTGATTTGTTTTAACTACATGTATGTTCTCATTGTTAAAGTTTACTCATTCACCCCTGAAGATGCATTTGAACTCTTCCTAATCAGTGGTTGGAATAGTTCATTATGAAGTTCCAGGGGTGAATGAGTTAATGTTTATGACCTTTTAAAAAGGTTCAGAATTGAACTCTTCCAGGCCTGAATATTCGCAAATGGAGATTATGATAGGCTTGGCCAAAATGTTCAAAATTGTTTCAAATTACCTAAAATAATTATGAAGAGATCTTGTAATACAACCAGTAAGTCTTTCTGTGTGACGTTTCAGTGACCAGTACGTTATATGTACTCTGTCACCTTCAACAGACAAATGATCAGTGAAGCCTTATATGTGTAAAATGTGTACGAGTTGTCCAAAAATCGATGTTGATTTGGGTACGCTGTTACGCGTATGTACAAAAGTTGCTATATTTGTCACATGGAAACAAATATTGGTTGTGCTACAAGAATCTTATTCACATAGACACACTTATTGGTTGTGTTACAAGAATCTTTTCACAAGCCATACTTACCATTCTGAAGAAAATGATTAGAAATACCTAAAACAATGTTTGATGTCGATATTGGATGTCCTGATAACTTATTGGAATCATCGTACTATGCAACTACTATAACAAAAGGCAATGGCTTCTATATGTACGAAAGATTTATATATAGTAACTTTGAATTTGAAGCGTTTTTGCTCTGCCTTTCTAGTGAATTTCACACATTGCAGATTTCTGCTATCATACTGTTTTGTATTTTTGACTGTTGTAGTTGATGTACTATATAAATATAGCGGTGTCACTAAACGATCACTGGGAAAGTCAGTCAGATGATCTAGGCGAGCATAAGAAACGTCACATGGTACACGCTTCATAGACATTCCTACCCGACATTTAACTTGTGAGGTCAAAGGTCAACACCAATCACATCATTAACACATTTAAACGTCTTTTTCCTGAGTAACTATCCAAAGAATAGGATAACAGAATCAGTCAGAAAAAGAATCTTTTACCATATTTAAAAAAAAAAAAAAAAAAAAAAAGGTTATTAATGAAATTATGAAACTAATAGATAATTAGGAATCTTCATTTAAGACGGGTAACCTATATCATTTTTGAAGTAAATCACCTGTAAAACTGAAAATGTATTTAGAATGAAATAATAAGATTTTTTTTTTAAATCAAGTTGAATTCTATATTGTTGCATGTATAGTACAACAACATACAACATTTATAACGATCATGCTTTCCTTATGGATTGAAAAAAAGGAAGTGCTGATATCAAAAGGTCAGTCTTGCATGACCTTATAATATCTTGTATATGTTTGCGTGAATCCATAGTTTTCAATATTGAAATAACATATTGGAACGCATGTGGAATTGGATTTATCAAATTCAATGTAAATCGTTAGGCGCTTATTGGGCACTTATAATCCAAGTTTCTGAAATAAACTGATATCACTATAGTTAAGTAAAGCCAGTCATTTCCAAGGCCTAATCACAAATGTTCTAGGGTTGGACACGGCCAGTACAAGAAATATTCCAATACCATGCGGTCATCCATGCTATGTAGATTCTAATCTACCTCCCTTGGTAATTAAACGTGATTCACTGATCACCGGTGAATGTATTCAGACAACTGTAGTTAGCATTTTGTGTGTTATGTAAATAACAATGTCCACTGTAAAACGTAAAACTATGCTTTCAAGCACCTATTTCATGATTTTAAAGCCAAGATCATATCTGTTTCCTAAAGTCAACATAATTCCTTAAGTTTATAAAATGCAATATTGTGTATAATCATCTTAAAATTGTACAACTTCTAAAATGAAGCTTCAGTCTTTTAAAGTGAAACATTTTGTGGTTTCACTATCATATTAAATGGTCATTAAGATTATTAAACTATTACGACTCAAATTATTATGACTCACAGTTTTATTATTATTATTATATTACAATATATACGGTTTTACTACCGCTGACAATGTGGTTGGTGATGGCCTTGACCTATAGACCACATGTTTGAACAACTGTGCTTTGGTGCTTCTTTAACAGTCAGCTTTAATATGTTGGAGTGATTTCACCTTTTTATTTTGGAGGCTGTATGTGCACATACATATTGATAGGATGTGGGGCTTATGGTGACAAGTTGCTTTGCCTATTTCATTGAAACCATTTTGGTACAATTCAGCAATTATCGTGAGATATCAAACAGGAACAAAATAGATTTTTAAAAGTCTTCGTATAAGTTAGAAAGCTTTACATATTTCAGCTTTGCATAAAAGATACAAGAATATTTATTTAACATTCGTTACATAAAAACAGACAACATAATAGCTTCCAGAGCTATAAATCGATAAACAGGTTACTTAGGTAAAAGATTAATATTTTGAAAGTCTACTTCACAAATTATGAATGTTCAGGAGTGTATCCATATACTTTTTATTGCTTAAACGTCCTATTGCTGGTTGTTAAAAAGTTAATAAAGGAACTAAATTTTGAATGTCCTCAAAAATCTTGAATTTAATAACCAAACTTGCATCAATCAAGATCTCAGATCCTTGAGTGGTGACAAGAAACATGAAATCAGTTTAATATTTTTTTGAAACATTTTGAAAACTAATTGGTTAACCGTTTTAGGTCACCTGAGCTTTAGCTTATTGCTATCCATCTTTGTCCGTCGTCGTGCGTCGCCCTTTAACATTTTACATTTTCAACTTAATCTGAAATACTGTCAAAGGGATTTCATTGATACTTCATGGGGATGTTACTGACAACTCTCTGACCAAGTGTTGTTATTGTTCGGGTCGATCAGAAATCCAATATGGTACGCCATTTTGAAAAACTACCTCAAACATAAAGTCAAGTTCTACGTGGCCAATTTCACTGAAACTTTGTAGGAATGATTGACTCACGGTCCTGACCAAGTGATGTTATTTTTCGGGTCGATCAGAAATCCAATATGTCCCCCACGCCCGCCATTTTGAAAAACTATTTCAAACTTAAAATCAAGTTCTACGTGGCCAATTTCACTGAAAATTCATAGGAATGATCGACTAATGGTCCTGACAAAGTGATATGTTATTTTCCGGGTCGATGAGAAATCCAATATAGCTGCCACGGCTGCTATTTTGAAAATAACCATTTCAAACTTAAAATCAAGTTCTAATAGGCCAATTTAACTAAATCTCAGTCTAGTAATGATTAACTCAGTGTCCTGACAAACTTAACTTAACATTAGACTTAACAAATTTTAACTCAAATTGGTAAGGATGATTGACATCATTATCTCCACTCCATATTTCAACAACAAAAATAAATACTGTAGGACTCCGTGACCGATAAGGCCCATGGGCCTCTTGTATTAAGCTGATATTGCCTTTAAAAACTAAAACAAGTTAAAACAGTAAATTACTAATAATTAAGCTGCTATCATCGATAGAATAATAAGGTGGTTGCACAAACATGATTTTGTTAGCACCATTTCCCTCTCCTTTTGTATTTTGATTTTGATCAAGGTTTTGTTTGGTACCATTTAACCCAGTGTCATTCTTCATTTCTCCTGTAATAGCATATTCAGAGGTACATTTATTTGCTTTGAAACATTAACTGGAGGAATTTGAAGGAATTCTGAATTACAAGGTCCCTACTTGAACTGTGAAAGTATTTGTAAAAGAAAAGTTCCAGGTCCATCTCCAAAAAAAAGATGAAGGTTTCGGAAATAAGCTTCATTATATCTCAAATTTCTTATTTATTTTATTGATCGGACAAATATAATTGTCTAACAAATATTTTATCATTGGCAGAAAATTCAGAATATCTTTTAGATTATTATGTTATGGTATTCTGTGAAAAAAAGAGAGTATTTGTCAGAATTAAAGAGAAAATGACGAAATATTTTCAAGTCATTCTGATATTAAATTCGCTAGGAAACCCTGAATGTGGAATTAATACGTGTGTATGAATCTTTTCACCTTTGATAATGCAAGTCTGTGACGTGATGTGTTTGTTGTAACTAGCCCTGGCTGATCTTGCTTACGCTACGTAATCCAGAATATTTTGCAGTATAAATTGAAAAAAAAATAAAGATGAAAAGATGAAGGTTGACATGAAGTAAAGTTTCAAACAAAAATTCAAAGGGAAAAAATATGTAAAAAGCCATGTCGTAAAGACATATCTGCAATGTAATTCACTTTATTTTTCGATTGACCATAGCTGTAATAAGACGCAAAACTCACAAACCAAACCAAACTATTTTTTGAAAAATATTGGTGTTTTTTTTCATTAATTCATGGAAGACTCATTTGTGAATTTGAGACTTTTTCAAAACATTTGCAAGGAGGCTTGTTTTTCGCAAATATTAATTACATAATTTTTATTAAAATCAAAATAACAATCATGATTTTCCATGAGTAAATCTACATATATAATTCGCAAAATAAAATCCATGCGAAAAAATTGATTGCATTGATAAGATTGTATTCTTGCATATATTTTATACAAATGCTCTCCACTCAAGTAGTGGATAATTTTGAAAAAAAGGCTTTTCTATAATGTTGGATAGTATTTACATGTGCACAGACTTTATAGTATTTTCATTCTTATTCTCAGACTTGTAAATGCATGTACTATAAATATATAGAGAGCAAGTCACAGGTACTTCAATTTTTCAAATGACTTTATCCTATCTTTAACCCTTTCACCCCTATGTAACTTTAGTAGACTCTACCATGCATTGATCTGGTTAAGTCCATTATGGTCTACAGTGGTGAAGGGGTTAATACTATTTGGGTTTCTTAAATTTACTGATACTGTTTTTCAAGTGTCTGACACGATTTTCTTAACAATTCCGACCAAACATGAAGTATATTGTGTCTACAAATGCCACGTCCATGTTTTTAAATCAATTAAAAAAAAAAGAGTCTCTTTTGTAATAAGTTAGAAGAGTATTTAAAATGATAGTTTGCATCTAACCCACTGTCAGTAATTGATAACTCAGATAACACATTTAATATTTCTCACAAAATATTTGTCCACTTTTGAATGATACACATAATTCTTCGTTTTTATCCAAAAAAAATTGTTAAGTCAACACACATTTATAAGAAATTGACAAATCTTTCCCCTATAATTGAGATTTAACGCTTCAGAAGGTGATTTTGTACCCCTTTTCAGAAAATACATTTTGACAAAAAAAATGAGTTTTGAAAACATATATTAAGTTGAAATTCCAACATTCACAAAAGTTAGATTGTTTTTCTCTCTTTTGGTGTTAAACACCAAATAAAATTTATTTTTAGGTCATAACTTTCTATAGTAACATCAAATATATATATTAAGCATTCAAATACCAATATTGTAGTTGAAGTAACTAAAATATAAACCATCAGAGTTGTGTTCAATATTTTGCAAATGATATGAATGAATGAATTATCTGATTTATCTGTTTCCTTAGCAATTACGTTTAATTATTAAATGCACCTGCTTAAATGTTTTAATTAATTTAGTTGCAAGTCCAAATATTTGAATGTTTGATGATACACAAAAGAAACCTTTTAAAGGGAAACGAAAGACAATAACTGTTATTTTAGATAGCTTTTTCTAACTCGGATGTTTTGATAAGCTCACCTTATAAGTGGAATTGTTACTTTTCTCATAATGTGTAATTATGTTTTAAAAAAAATAAGTAGTTTTCAAACTCTTTTTATGTGAAAATAACTTTTAACAATATTTTTGCACAAAACAAAAATAGATTCCGCAATGAAATGAAAGCATTAATTATGAATTAAGCCTAATTTTCTACATTGAATTTAATTTGACATTTATTTAGATTATTTGACAAATTAATCATTTTAAAGGTTAGAAAATAAGCAGTATCCATTTCTATTTTTGCCATTTTAGCTGATGAGTGCATTAAAAAGTGGACACGTGGCCAACTCCAGATTTGGACAGGTGACACAGATGATGCCTGACAGAGAAAAGATAACGGTGGAACGATCAGGAGGAGGAGTATAGAAGAGGAGGCATGTAGATGTTTATAATAAGTGAAGTAGTGGACATGTTCTAAAGATTTTTCTTTAAAACACATAAATAAGAAGAAAAAAATGGAAGTAACGTTCTTGTTACGAAAAGTTACCTTAAGTCGTCTGTATACATAGAGTGGGGAGAATGGAGACAATTAAACGGAGAGTGTAATCAGTCGGGAAAGTTGCTTTCATTTCTGCGTGCACTTTGGAAAGTGTGGACATTTGGAGGACAAAGAAAAAGCAAGGGAACAAAAATTGGCCAGGAAATGTTAATTAGAACTTTTTGGATTAAAAAATGACCATATTTTTGCATGAATTTTCAAAAAGCACTGTCCTGGGGTTTTTTTTGCACTTGGCAGCGGTATAGTGCGCTAAGCAGATTTCAGCAAGTATCAAAATATCAAAAGGCAAAATGTACATGTGATTGTACAGGAAATCAGTAAATACAAGGCTAGAAAATGATCATCTCTTACTTAACACTGACAATTAGATATACAGTTTATTTCTATTCAAATAGTGACAACATTTCAATACCACTTCATTTTATTTTTCTGGGTATAGCAGTATTTTGTTTGAACTTTTCTTCACAATAACGGACAACATTAAAGATTTGTAAACGACGAAATGGCCTTTATAAAACTGTCTCTCATATGTTTACAGTAACAATAGTGTCCAATATAGGTTCATTACCTGTATCGGTTATACAATGTATGACCTGTAATCTTTATTTCGAACTCCGTTAATGTTTTGTATGATCTGTTGTTTTGTAGTGTCCTATTAAACGTACTCTTCGAAAAAACTGTTTATCCCTCAGTGATGCTTTCGTGGAATGATATTCTTAAATATATAATATATATACCAAATATATATATTTATTATAACATTTCCTCCCATTTTCCATTAACAAGTAACAAATACATGTTACACATATGTTTATCTTTGTTGCCATCGTAAAGTAACAGATGTATTTTTTTCCGTCATCGATATGATGCTTTTGCATTGGTTTACTCACTATACTATGTTGATATATTCTCTGGTGCTATTGTCATGTTTTATGTAGCATGAACACTAAAGATTAGTACAAGTCATTCTTTAAGGTATTTATTCTGTGAAAACAGATTTTTGTGAGTTTCCCCCTTAACTTCTTACTCACCAGGATTTTGATTTATGAAAAGAACAAAGACTGTTTGCAGTTGTTGGATGGTATGTCTCATAAGCAGGAAACAATCAGCCCTTGAATTAATACTCCTGATTATATGTTTGTATTACTCTTACTATGATAAGTGATACCACTTATTCTCTGGGTATTGATATTTCCGGCACTGATAAATAGATTTTGGCATACATACATATGTATAGTCATTGCCCAAATACTATGCGATATATATAGTGTCAGTTGTTGCTCCTCAGTCTTTAGAGTATAAGAATTTCTCAACATAGGCCGTTATTGTCCTATTCAATACATATTTGGGATCATATCAACAATATTGGTATACAACTCTGGATCATGATTATCACCGAGTTATTGGTAATACATTACAACTGTACCTGCATCTCCAAAGCTAAGTATACTGTACAGCTAGGGTTAATATAACCCCCACAAACTGCTTAATGCACCATGCATGTATCTTACCTCAGGAACATATCAAGACTAATATTAACTTAAGCCAAGACCTTGCTAGCAATAGGTTCTGATCAAGAAAATATTTTGTTTAAGGAACAACTTGCCGGTAGTAGGTTCTGATAAAAATAGAATTTTGTTAAAGGTACTTACTTGCTAGTGGTGAATCCTGATCAAGACAAATGTCTGAACCTATTTACTCTGAGCTGTCGAAAACTCTTGAACTCATTCACCCCTGAAGTCACATTTGAACTCTTCCAAGCCAAAGTTTGGAATAGTTCATTATAAAACTTCAGGGGTGAATGAGTTAAAGTGTATCAGAGTCCCTGTAAGTATTTTGTGATACTGCTGACTATAAATCTGCATAATTGTAATAAGGTAACCGTCTTGAGAGATGTACATGTATTGTCAATAATGGCATTTGATCAGTTATGTCATACACGTATATATATCATAATATATGGGAAATTCATTAAGGAGAGTGCATGCAAAAGGTTTTTTTATTATTTATTTGTTAGATGTTTTCATCTACAAATTTGTCTCCAATTAACAATTCTTTTTTTTTTTTGTAATTTCATTCTGTAATCTATTAAAGTATCAATGCATTGGTCCTTAATTATCAGTTTTGTTTACTGTCAATCTTCTTTCTGGTGTTAATCAGTTTTATTCACCCTGACACTAAATGCTTATCATTTCTTAATGTTTCCTTATTATGAACGAAATATTGATATGTATATGACAATAAATATGATGTCTTGTGATATGTAACTTTAAGTTAGAAGAACATCCTTCAATTAAAAAAGCACAATCGTGTATAACTGGAATTTATATCAATATAATGTATTAATTACTCATTTAATGTTGTTTACAGTTTGTTTCGTGTGAATGATAAATTACATCATTTCACACTTTTGTCCTCATTTTATATTAAAGATTTAATTTCATTGCCTAGCCGGAAGTACAAATGTGAATTTTAATTTATTTTCACAGACTTTGTGTATGCTTTTAGTATTTTAAGACTTACACCGTTTTATTTAGACCGTTGTTTAGAATATATCAAAATAGTTAGTGTGAGTGACTAACTTATGTTTAAAATGATCTCTGTATAATGTTTAAATTCCTTCCCTTGAACATGATTGTATGTGAATAAACCTAACTTGACCGTTTTCATACTAATTGATGGTTTACAAGATCGGTGAAATACTAACTGGTCAAAAGGATACAGTAAAACTGTATACTGACGGGTAAGGGTAATACATTGATATACTGATTGTTCAATGGAAAATAGTACACTATGATAGACACTGGAAAACTATCAACATATTAAAATTCATCTGCAGACATGTTTTCTTATCTATTATAAAAAATGTATTTGCTTAAATGAAACTTTCTGAAGACATCAATTAAGCAATTTTACATTTTTGAATCTGGATCACAGTATTGGGTAAACCTAAATTTCGTCATTCGAAGAAGTCCCGTTTTATAAACAGTATACCACTTGCTTAGACTTGTCTTATGTGAGTGATGAGTATCAATTTCACCTATAAATAACGAATGTATGATCAATTATTGACTTTCGTATCTGCAGTTTTGTATTGAATGTTTTAAACGTCACTCGTGCCGTGAACACGACCGTTCTTGTTGGTGAGGTATAAGTTAGCGTGGGTGATTTATAACGTTGGTATTGATGTCAAGTGTAGGTCTGAATGCTATTGCACATATAACAACAACGCTTTCAGTTTGTGGTGTTGTTTTTAATTAATACTAGGTTCTCATTGCATACTGTTTAATCTATAGCTACAAGACTTACGTTCAAGAAAAAAACAGTAACAGAATATTGCATTTTAGCTGAAAATGAGTTTGTATATATTTGTTGAAGAATGTTTGTATATTTTTGTTGAAGAATGCTTGTAGAAAACAATACCGATGTCTTTTTTGTTATTTATTGGTACACTATTGGGAAAGAAAAACTAAAATATATATATCTGTGATCAGCAGTTGAATGTACATGTGTAAATTGAGTTTCAATAGCTTATTTAACAGGTTTGACAGAAAGAAACACGATTAATGAAAGAATATCAAAAAAATATAAGATAAAGTAAAAGTGAAACTGCTTCATGATACGGTTTTGGATCGTGATCTGAACGTCTGCTTTCCTCATTTGCCTAATAAAGTAGATATTACGTGGTAGAGATATATGAGGTACATGTATTATGGTCACAGGGTATCGAGGAAAACCTTTTCTGTAGATCTTTGTATTGAAGTATATGTTATTTTACTGTAACACACGTCTATGGGGTTATTCATTTTTCCTAATTGCAGTACGCAGATGCACAAATGGTGTAAATTATACAGAATAGGAATTAGTGATAAGGTTACTTGGACAAATTATTTTTTAATGTTTATTTATTTTCTTTTGTGTAGTCGACTTATATTATCGTTAACTTTTCTTTTAAAATTTCTTCAAGAAATATAGAGTCATGTTTTGCAGAAACTTAGATTTAGTGACCAGTTTTTTACCCACACCATAACTCCTTTATTCAAATATCTTAAGTACTATTTTAGTTAGCTGATTTTGGAATTTATACTTTTATACGTATATTGTATGTTTCTTTTCATTTTTTTTAACCTATTTGAATTTTTCAAATAGTCTGTTTTATTTATTTACAGATTGTGTAAATTGAACTGTTGTGATATAACAATATAACTATAATTTCTATTCTAGATAGTCTATCTTAAAAACGTGGAAGGTAAGCTAATTAAAAAAGACTATCTCAAAAAACGTGGAAGGTAAGCTAATTGAAAAAGACTATCTCAAAAATAAGCAGTTGGCTTTCATATTGTCATTTTCTTGAAATGAAACAACAGGAATAGATAAAGGCCACTCCAGTCTGCTTTTAATTTATGTTGAAAGTGTAAAAATTGTCGCTGTCAAAGTCGATGCCTTAAGTTATTAAGTAATTATATTCCTCTGTTCAAATAGAGCTGCTGAATATTGGGTCGTCAATTGGATAAAGTAAGATTATTAAAAAATAACTCGTTGAACGAATGTTGAACGAATTCGAAGAAAACTGATTTACAGAAATTTAATTAACAAACACTGTAACTCTTTAAAGTAATGATAACCAACGATTACCTACATGGGCATGCCAGTTAACGTTATTACTGATTAAAATCATTGCAGTTACTGGAAAAAAGGCGATTCATTAATTGCTAGTATCTTTGAGATATTATAGTATTTGATGCAGAGATACTTGTTGCTCAAGCAATGACGTCATAACTTCATGATTAATGAACGTTGCTGTGCACCATTGCTATGCATTCTCTTGCACAAAATGACTAACGGGAATTTGACTTTTTGGTATGCAAACTAAGGGAAATTGATCATCGTGATTTGAAAAAATCTTTTTATCGGCTAAATAGTTCATGATTTCTTTAAAATATGTAATTTGTATAGGGAAACTCAATACTGATTTTATAATATGTAATGGAATTCTGCTTTTCAGAGACTGCATATGTATGTTAATGCAGCATTGCATACGTTTTGGTATATCCAGCTTCGAATACATTATCTTTAAAGCCAATATAAATCGCCATTGGACCACAAGAAATAATCTCAACTACCTGTAATTTACTTTTTATACATAGCATTGAGTATTGTATTACGGTAAGAATGTATCTATAAGTTTTGCATTTGAGTTATTTACATTTGTTTTTATACTTAACTGACTTCCGATCCTGTTATCCCGACTGTTGTTATAATTTGTCTTGTATTACTGACGTTTATCTAAAATAAAGTTTATCGACTTTTGATTGTTTGTTTTTTTAAATTTTCATTATAGAGTTTTCGATTGGTATTTTCCCAGAAATTAATAATCAAGAATTGGTTAGTAACTATATACTACTCACATTTTGCTAAGGATCACCTATATTTTGAAAAAGATAAATCAAAATATTAGAAAGGATATTATATTTTCCTTACGTACTGCGAAGATGTTAGCCTTCCAAATTGTCCTGTTTGGGCGTGTTCAGTCAACCATAAGAGCACTTGCACGCTTTTCCACATGTACACCCCTTTCAAAAGCTAAGCTAAGTAAGGCGTTGTTCAAATTATTAAGGAAATCAATTTAATAAATATTCTTTACGTGTTTTTGTTTTAATATGGCACAAAGACGAACCAGACAACGGTGAAATGAAAAGAGGCATCGGAATGCTGCAAGCTATCATGTCTCAACGTCAGGTTGCAGCAGACCTTGGTTCGTCTCAAAGTGTGATGGCAATAATGTGGAATCGTTTACAAACTAACGGAAACCCTTCCAGACGTAATGCTAGAGGTCGTTCTACGATTTTTGCTCATAGAGGCACAGGTTCCTGACTGCCGCAGCTTTACGAAATGGCCTCCTAAATGCTTCTAGTACCCGGGTAGCCACTCAGACAGTTAGGAACCGTCTTCATGATGCTGGTTTAAGGTCACGAAGACCAGCAATACGAGTTCCCTTAATTGCCAGTCATGTTGGGGGCCGATTAAATTGGGCCCAAGTTCACAGCGCTTGGACTCTTCAGGAATGGGAACCGGTTCTTTTTACTGACGAGTCAAAAATCTGTCTCGACTTCACCGACAGGCGCGTTAGAGTATGGAGACAACCTGGGGAGAGGTTTCAGGCAGGTAACGTTGTGGAACGTGACCGATATGGTGGAGGTTCAGTGATGGTGTGGGGGAGGCATAAGCCTTCGTAGGAAAACTGACCTCCATGTCTTCTATAATGGTACCGTTACGGCCCCGATTCACTGCAATGAAATCCTTGATGCCTATGTCAGACCCTAGGCTGGCGCTATTGGCCCTGACTTCATCATTATGGACGAGAATTCTAGGCTACATACAAATTGTATATATAGAGCAACGGTGACTGAGCAGTATCTACAGCAAAACACTATTCAACGAATGGATTGGCCAGCCCGCTCGCCGGATCTAAATCCCATCAAGCATGTGTGGAACATGCTGCAGACAGCTGTCTCTAACAGAAATGTTCTGCCAGGAACGCTCCAGGAGCTGGGAACAGCTTTAGTGGAACGCTATCCGACAAAACCGGATACGCGATCTCATTCGGGGCATGTGCAGACGTTGTGAAGCTGTAATTGATGCTCATGGGCGTCACATTCGATTCTGAAACAGTTTCTGTTTATTTAGGATGAGTTATGTTCAATTTCAGTTTTTTATTGAATACCTCGTTGTTACCTATTTTGAGGGTAACCCTTTTCCTGTGGCTCATTTTCCGGCTGTAATTACAATTTTTTTGAATTTTTGCGTGCTGATGAATTAAAAGAGCAATCAATTTTTCAAAAATAATCTCAGTATAAACGAAATGATTTTTTTTTTTTTTTACATATGCCTAAAAATAAAAGTGATCCATAGCAAAATGTGAGTAGTATACATTGTACCCTAAGCGGATTAAAATGATAATTAAGCGATTGGTTGTTTCTAAATAGTGATATATATATATATATAGTAATACGTATCCTACGGACATACCTCCATTAGGATCCAGTGTTATATCGGATTTTACCGTCTATATTACTTCTTTGACCCATATAAATATAAAGCAAAACACGAAGACTAAATCGCTAGCGCTTTCGCCCATTTTGGGACTCTTCGCCGGTGTTATACATATATATAATTATTCTAAATACTGTAAATAAGTCGCTTGATGATTTTTTTTAAGCAACAATGGCTTATCTAAGTATCGCACAAGCAGTTTACATCGGGTAAAACATACAAATTGAGTGGAACAGATAGAAATGTCTTCCAAAAAATGTCAATAAGAGAATTTTTATCAAAGAGTACACATAGTGTACATAGTTCGAGTTTAAAATCGATATATTTAGGTCAAAATATGAAAAAAGCAAGATTTAAGGGACCCTTTCACCACTACAAGGTTACAGTGAGAAGATCAGGTGTTCATTTAGGGAAACGTTTTCTTTTCTATTGACCACCCACCATGTTTATCTACGTGAAGGTTAAACCCCAGTAAGGTTACCTACTTAAAGTGAGGATTTGGGATGGTAACCACAAGATGTGTTAATGATAAGATTGTGTTTATAATATATCGACCTCCTACATGTGTGACACTTTGGAGGACAAACTGTAACTAAAATTTGACTAAAATTTACATGGTGGGCGGTCTATTAGGTGAAGGACGTTTGCCTTTCTGGATAATCTGATCTAATTACCTTTGTGCTGGTTCAAGAGTTTCTGTAAATGTTATGTTCTGTTGAGATTTTAGAACTGAATCAGTATAAACAAGACATGTTCCGCACCTACCTCCGGTTACAGAAGGGCGGAACAAAATAATGGAAACCCTTCTTCATTAACGTTGAATATATTTTATATTAAAGAAGACTTTATTTTATTTGAAAAAAAACTTATGGGGGCAAAAAGGTGGGCCAAATGTAGGAAACAGGGATACATTTTGAAAATCCTATTCATTCCGTATGAGTGAATGAATTTTAACCAAAGATGTTTTAGAAAATATCTTGATCAAGTTGGCATAAAAAAAATATTCCGGGAACGCCTGCTTTCCTTCACCAAGATCTGAAACGTGACACGTCCTCAAATGGCCATAGCTGTTAATAGAACGTAAAACAGAAACAAACTTTAATAAGGTTGCATCTAATCATATCTAATGTCATCAAGCATGATTTTCTATAACACTAGTAGAACAGTAAACATAATTTCGCATTTGGGTCATCCTCGATACTCCAAGGGTTACGCTCACTACCACGTTATGAACCCCTGGAATGTGTCATTGCAAAGTTAAAGGCACGCGGCATCTATTTGATTAGACAGAGGTAAAATAAACCTGACCAATTGCTACATGTAGACTGATACCTGTTTCCTAAAAATGTCAAAGGAACGACACCAGACTTCAAAGCCCGTCAATAATTTGTACCGCTACCCGACCGCGAGATTCTTTTGATGATTGTCAAGGATCATAATAGTCCTCTTGCCTCATTTACAAAGTGGCGCACACTGAGACTTTAGTTTTGCTATTGCACTTTCCATGAGTGTAGAGAGCGTAAGTGAGCGTATCACACGGTGTATCAAGGACACATTTGGGCAGATTTACATTGCACGTTCTTCAAACAATTTTGCTTACCTGAGACTCTCCGGCTCTTCAGACTGCGGGTTAAGGCGTCTGATATTCTGCTACCACCAGCCCCCAACCACATAA